TCATCCAGAGTACCATTCAGGATAGACAAACAGTTTTCGTTCTTGAAAGAAAGAAAATTCAAACACGAACCGTAAACCTCCTTATCCTGAGAAGCTTTACCATCTCTGGTGCCGATTCTAATACCGAAATCTCCCATCAGCAACAAATTCTCATCATCTTTTATATCATTCAAAACACTTTGAAGCACTGCAGCGTTTTCTTCAAACTGATTCGCTTTGCTATGAATCACCAACAAATTCCAAATTCTCGTATTGAAATTCAGTTTGATCACAAGCAAATCGTCGCTTATGATTCTCGAATCCACGATGCTCAGATTAGGTATTTTTCGGATTCCGATGAACATCCCACCTTGTTTCTTAGATGTGTTTGATTGGAATTGGGAGGCAGGAATGTAGAGACAAAAATAGTTTTCTACTACGTAGAATGGAAGAGTTTCTGCGGAATCCAATCGTGTTTCTAACAGCACGATCACATCGAACTGCGTGATGTAATTCAATTTGTCGTGCAGCTGATCCAAACTTGCTCATTCTTATGTATGTTCTTCTGACTTTATAATAAATAAAGAAAAAATAATGTTAATTAATACTTAGAAACTACAAAAAAAATTAGTAGTAATCGGAGTGCATCAGAAATTCAGTTCTACCAATTTTCCGTATGCTATATTCCGTTACCATGGCGACGAAAAACTAATATAGTAATAGTGTAAGAGTGTAAATAAAATCGCTTCTAAAATTAAGCACATTAGTATTTGTCAAATCACAAGTTAACTGTAAAACTGGATTAGATTTAATCAGCTTAAATATTTTCGTAAATCCTCATTCTGCTGTTGCTCATTCTTACGCAAGTTAATTGCGCTTTGATCTTCAAATGTAGATGTTCTTCTGACTTTTTCGTGTCATAGCAAAATAGATCAAATTAAGATTATTTTTTTTTTTTACAATAATAATATGTAATAGTGTATAGGATAAATCACAGATTAAGGTTAAGTACTCTGCCTCTTCGGTTGCCTTGAATTACTGATGGCTGTTCCTCCTGTACATGTAGGATTGGAGGCTAGCGCTGGACGCGTTCCTGAGGATCTTCAGAGGTTTAAGTTTATCTTTGATGTGGATGAAACGATTATCTTTCTGCGAACTCGTGTGTGCCAACTGCGTCATGGAGCGTTCCTTCTCCAGCTGGACGACCGACCTAAGATCGAACTTGAACTCGGAGTTAGGCTGGATCGGCGTTTCGAGCGCTTGAATCGGTGATCGAATGATAGAGGAATCATGAACCTGGTTCAGTTCCGGCGTATCCAGATAGAATTTCGGGAAACTGCTCTGCCGTATAATTGGCATATCGATCTTGTCGATGTTCAGCGTCAGAGATTTGGAGACTCTGCGTTCGTGCAAAGACTTCTTTCGCATCTTAACGGGAACGCAGAGCGTGTTATCAATGTTCAATGATGCCGTATTCAAGTTCTCCTCTCGAATTGTAGCCAAGGAGTCTGTGGAGTTCGCAGAAGAGCTGGAGGTGTCGCATTCGTGGATTATGAAGATCGGTTTGTTGGGTCTCTCCGGTGATGGCGTCGAAGTCGGAGAGTTTTGCCACCACTTCTGTCGCTTCGCCGGTTGCTGCGTAACAACTGGAATCTCCTCTTGTGCTTTCGGTGGTTCGATGCAGAAGATGGCTCTGTTCGCTATTATGGCCACGTTATCGTAGTAAGCCATGTTATCAAACATCTGGTTGTTCTTCTCCTCTTGCGTCCTCTGCTTGGCAGGCTCCTTCTCCGGACTTGCGTTCTCCTCGACGTCATACTCGGCGATGCTCTTGTCGTAGCAGAAGTGCTTCTCGAAGCAATGCCAGTAGATCGTCTCCAAATAGCTGAAAACGAAACACAATTAAAACCTTGAATCTGCACTTTACAATTATAACTATTTTATATCAATTATTGTTCCTCTTGATGGACGTAGAATAGTTAATTACTTTGCTGTCAGATTGATAGACATGAAGTAACAATAGGCCGAGACAAGAATCTCTCATTGAATCAACATCAGTTCTAATTAATCGCTTAACGAGCGATGTTTCGCATAACGAGTGACGATGAGTAAAGAATAAGACAAATGAAACTTAAATAACTTAAAATAATAGCTTAATTAACTAATTATTGTTATGTAACCACTATATACGCTATTCTACTGTAAACTACTAACTTTACTTAATGAAAAACGGAAATTGGAGAAATTGTACAAAGCAAAGCGTAAGTTAAGAAAGACAAACAGTAAGTGACTGGCAAAGGCTACGCTCTAAAAAATAAAAGCAGAAGAAATGAAAAACACAACTTATAATATTTAATATTAAACACTATTTCTCTTCTAGCAAGAAAATGAAATCGAAAAAAAAACCATTAGTATGAGCAGCTACGTCGTTTGCTTTCGCCTTGGATTCTCATCGAGGCTGAAGCCTACATTAAACTCATATACACTTCCTCGCTCGTGATTCCTTGAATCACTATTTCATCATCGCAACTTATTAAAAAAAAAACAATATAACAATACATTCTTTCATTGCATTTCCACATTCATTAATAAGATGTAAACTTATGTGCCATAATAATTCGTATAATATAATAATTAATTAACAATAAATAGTAAAATCAAATTTGTAAAGTCGCGTTTCGTTTCAAGGATTCGTCGTGTCGCATCGAGTTTAGAAAATAAGTGGATTTCTTTGTCCGTTGTGTTTAATGAACCATTACAGCGATTTGTTACGAAATAATGGAATGAGTAATATACAATAAAACTGTTACCGATAGGAATACAAAGCCGTTTTCGTAATCCGTTTGATACTCAATTTTCAGTGTTATGATTCATGCATTTTGAATTCTCCATTATTATATAGATATTTAGGCTTTGATAATATTTAGAATAACAACAAAACCGTGGATTATTCATATCTTCAAGACGATTTTATCAGTTTATTCAAGATAGAAAATTTCCTACAAATATATTAAACAAAGAAATAAATAAATCTATTTTTAAACTACTCAATTTCAGGTTAATGATTATTTTTGTTGGTCAATTAACTCGGAATTTCCAAGAGTTTTTTTTTGTTATTTGGGATTTCCATTGATAATTTAATCAAACGGTAAAAAAATGTGATACAAAATAGAGAAATTGAAACAGTTATTTGCTTAACGACCAGTCGATTTTCTACCTGCATTATGAATAAATTTGAATTTTGTTGCATAATTTTAAACAATCTTTTTCTTTAAAATATGCAATAATAAGATATAGGTAATCATTATAAATATGAAGTTCAAGGTTTGAATTTTATTAATTAGAAATTAATTATAATGATTATATTAATTAAATTTATTTAATTGCTACAGACACAACGTTTTGTTTGTTTTGATAATATAGAATTGCAATAAATTATAGTATTATTATACTATATGTATTAATATACAGTGGTAGCTCGCTTTCCGGATTTTCACTCGTATAGTGAAACATATTCAAAAATACACACAATCCGGGACTTCTCTTCTCATCGTCACTCGTTATGCGAAACGTCGCTCGTTAAACGAGTCATTTTTCTTACAATTAATTTTGCTCGTTAAGCGAGATTCCAATGTAATAGTAAATAACATTATTTTTTTTTTAAATATAAAAGTATTTCGTATCAAAAATATTTCAATGAAAATATCTTAAAGTTTATTACAAAACTTGAGATAAATCTAGTAGATGATTGAACGAAATATTTTTCAGATAACTTATCGTAGCGCCCTGCATTGTTTTGTATTTTGTTAATTAAGCATATCTACCACATATTATTAAATTCATATTGTACATTATATTATAGTCTATACGTTAAGTTATGAAGATGATTCATGATTTCTTTGATTAAACGTAATACATAATCTTTCTTAAGTATTTTTTTTTCGGCATCGAACAAATTATCATATTTTACATTCATTTATATGAGAAAAAAGTGTTTTGTTTAACGAGTGTTTCACGTTACGAGTAAGAGTTTGGAACGGATTATGCTCGTTAAGCGATGTTCCATTTAGCCCTAGTTACAAATAATAATATTTTATTCATAAAATAAAAACTATTTCATCCATAAAGTGAACATTGCAATGGAAAATTCGTACCGATTTTTGCTAAGTATCAAGAAAACAAAGTGCATTTTAGACCGTCATACTTTTCTATTTGGAAAGCCAAAAAAATGTTATGTAATGTAAAATATTCGCTTTCCAAAATTCTATTCTTATTTGATAAACATAAGAATTGTTAAGCAACTAGTAACAAATATTATATTAGGATGAAAAAATGTTGTTTTTATTGCAGTATAGTAAAATCTATTGAAGGAAGAACTATTCCCAAGAAATCTATTAATTTCGTTTACAAATATCATATAATACTACTGAAATATGTTTGAATGTATTATTCTAGTAATTTTACTAATCAATTTTCATTTATCGTTGTTGTTTGATATATAATGTAGATGCTCTGTTTTACTTATTAAGAATAATTTACTTCATAACAATGTTAATATTAATTTGCTCTTATTTTTATGAATTTTCAATGATATTTATTACAAAAAATTGAAATTGATTTTTTGAATACTTCCACTAGTTTTCAAACATTTATGCTCTAGTATTGTTGCAGTTAACTATTCATTGTTTTGTTTCTTATCTTGTATTTATATATGATGTGGAGACTGCTTTCGCCTCTTTCAGCCTTCAGACATTAGTTTTTTACCAAAAAAAAAAAGAGACAAAAATGACTTAAGCAAATATATGAATATGAATTGAGCTGACAATGAATACATAGAGAATCTATATCGCAAGCCCGACAACCGAAATCTCGTCTATTGAAATCCCGACTGTATTAAAGTCCTGACTATCATAAAAATGTTACTGTAAAAATTTATAATAATAAAAGACACTGTCGAGATTTCGATGCAGTCGAGATTTTGACATAGTCGGGATTTCGATAGACTTGCAATTGCCACCGTAGAGAAACATATGATATAATAGTGCAAAAGAAATGAAAATAACTTGATCTGATAAAGAAAACTGAAAATATGTATTATTGGAAACAGATTAGAGTGAAACATGAAATAAAATGAACTGAGCGGACACAAATATGATGTGGATGCAATTAATACACATTATCTGAGCAGAAGATGTTGAAGTGGATGGGGGAGAGGATGGATCCTCGCGGGACACCTGAATTGATTATGAAACGTTTCTTAAAGGTGTTAAATGTATGGTGTGTTGTGATGCAAAAAATGCTCTTATATAATATCAAGATAAATACAAGATTGACTTGCAATATTTGAAGACATTGAATTTACTTACGAATTGATCTTTAACAACAGAAATTCTTATATATTTGATGTATTCTTTGGATTATGCAAAAGTTATTATTATAGTTTTTCAATATTGTTGGAATTAACTACTAAATGTGTGACTAAAGATGGTATTTCTTAAGAATAAAACATAAGAAGTTAATAATAATAATAATTTAGAATGTTTCAATATTATTGGAATTAAATAGTAAATCTTTTATTAAATATAGTATTTTTTAAAAACTTACGAATTGATTTTAAGAACACTGAAATTTTTATATATCTGATGAATTCATTTGAATGATTTAAATTTTGTATGATTGAATACAACAAAAATTAACTATGGAATGATTGCAAATTGTATTTTTTTTTTAAATACTTAAGAATTGATTTTTAGAAAACTAAAATTGTTCTAGCTAGTGTATCCATCATTTCAATTTTCATACAAATATTTGTTGATCTAATAGTGAATATGTTTCAATGAAAAAAATTCAGTTTCACAATTATTGATTAATATTACATAAAATAATAGTCAATAAAATATTCCTTCTGATATAATTACAAAGTGTTTGAGACATTCTAAAAGATTACGAAAAATTATAAACATTTGAAAATAACAAAACTTGAAACTTGAAAAATTGCAAAAAAAAAAACTAAAAGAAAATACTTGAAATCTGCATAAAAAAAACCATCATTTCAATTTTCATACAAATATTTGTTGATCTAATAGTGAATATGTTTCAATAAAAAAAAATCAGTGTATTCTTAGAGTTTCTATATTGAAGCATTAATAAAATTCCTTAATGAAATGCAAAAATTAAAGTTGTCAAAACTCTACGTTCTACATTGTTGGAAACTACGGTTCTCTCCAAGGTTACGTTAATTTCTTAGATGGAAATGGGTTGATTCTCAAGTTGTTTTCGTACTTACTTTTGGCAGCATTTGCAGCACATTTTCGCAGATCCCGGATTCCTCTATTGAAAAAAAATCTGCACAGACGTTGTTCGCGTATATTTTGTTGAGACCGAGAATCGGCTGACAATTACATACGTACAGATAAGATGTAAATCATTGTCCTTATCATATCATCGTGTACGCGTTGATAGGAGCTGATAAAATACTTATATATATATATATATTATATATATATACACGTAAATAATACACGAAATGGAATGTAATGAAAAGAGACGGAGATAAAATACACGGCAATTACGAACTCATTAGGTTTACAACCTTGATTTTCTACTAAGTAAAACGATGTGATTTCGTTGCTATTATTTTTGTTGTTGTTGTTTTTGACCACAAACACTGTCCGAAGCACCGATCGAGTCTAATCCAAAAATCGGTCAATAGCTGTTAACGTCGTCGTCGTCGTCGTTGTCATCCACTCCTCTTGAAACTCACGTGCAACCATCGAAGAAGACACTGGGTGTTCCCGCAGCAATTTCCTGCAAAAAGCATATGCAAACACTATTAGCACGCTCATTACAACGAGTTCCAAAACAGATTGTATAAACACTCGCAGATACCGCACCGAACCAAACAACAACAACACACACACAGACACCAACGATTCGATTTAATGGGTTCTGTTACGTAAATTACTGTTTCACGCAGCTCGACATTTGCTTTGTTTTGTACTGTTAGCTTTAAAGTACGTTCGGTGTACGCGATTGGGAAACAATTATCTCGATAATCGTTAAATTATTATTACCTTCGAACGGTATAATCTTTTAAACAAATATATCGTACTTTTATTGATTAACGTTTCGCTTTATTTTATTTTTTTTTATTTGTTCAAAGATTTTAGCACATTTCTTAAGTGTTTTCTTCTGTTGTTTAAATTACAATTAACACAACTGAAACAATAAGACCGGATAATTAAATTTTTAATTTGTTTCAATAAAACTGACGAAAGCAATATTGTTTGTAATTTAAATATCATTATTTTTTTGAACGAATACTTTACATATTCGAAAATTAATTATTTATACAATCATTAACAAAATGTATTGAATAATAATTAATACAAATAACAAAGTAATTGTCGATTTCAAATTTGGATGGGATTAATTTACTTCTGTCGCTTTCTTAAAAACCAAATTAAGTGTACTTTTTTTTGTGATTTTTTCGTGGGTTCAATTATAACATGAAGAACAAAAGCGTTCGTTTTCATCAGATTTTGCTTCATTATTTATGAAAAGGAAATAACGTAACACAAGCTGCTTAAAAGTTAAGGTTTGATAAATTTAGTTCTGGTGATTTTTCACTCATAGATGAACTATAAAGATGAAGTTAATGATGGCCATTTTCCTGTCCGAAAGATTACAGAAACGTTAAATGTTAAATATTTGGGTTACTCATGAATTAAAGAAATTTCATTTAAAATCTGCGATATTCATCTCAAACGTATTGAAATCGAACCTTTTTTTAAAGGGATAATGAAAAGTGATTAGTTTATCATAACATCGAACGAAAACGGTGATGGTCTAGAGAAAATGAACCAGCGCAATCAATATGGAAAGCTGAAATGCACGAAAAGAAAATTATGCATTCAGTTTGGTGGGATAACAAAGATATTGTGTGTTTTTAACTCTTTCCTAAGAACCAAAAGACTAATTCACATGTGTGTTGACAGATTAAACTCTGCAATTCAAGAAAAATGGACAGAGTTGACAAATTGTATAGATGTTGTAGTCTATTATGATAACGCTACCTTGGATGTTACGTCCACCATATAGAACTGATCTTACAAAATTTGTTGAATGGTAAAACTTTCAATGATGATAACGCTGTGAAATTACACCTAGTTCAGTTTTTTTTTGCTGATAAAGACCAGAAGTTATAACTTCTTTACAAACTTTAATAATTATAATAATAATAAAATATTTTTACATATTCTGAAATACTTTCTTTACGACAAATGATTTGTTAA